GTAGACGTGCTGAGAGCCTGCCACTTTCCAAGCGCAACTTGTATCGGCCGCAGTTCCCGACGCATCTGCGCAATGCGATGCGCCACTTCCACGTTGGGCCCTTCCCCCCTCCAGCATCATCGTTCCCAACCCCTTGATTTGCTTGACGACACTGACATATATTCCATGCTCCTCCGAAACGATACTCACCTTCCCCTCTCCCTTGGAAAGTAGGTGTCGGACTCCCTTTGAGTACGTCCCCACAATAGCCAGAAGCAAAAAAGTCTTGCTCTCATTGAGCCGCAGTCCGTACCTGGCCACGGCCACAAAAACAATATCAACTAGCTTGGCGGCCTGCGCTGGAACTTTCCTCGCATCAGGCTCTGCCCCGACTGGGGTGAGATCATCCACGAAAGAAACGCTACAGGCCTGGTGCTGCCAGTCGTTCAGAGCAGCGAAGTGCAGTGGTCTCTCTTGGGTCTTCCATGTCATGCCAGCAGCCTCCATCTCAGTCTCAATCTCATCGATGATGGGTTTGAACGCAACATTAAAGCCGTCCGTGGCAAGGATAGTCCCAGGACGGGCCCCAAGGGTCGGACGAACGAAGCTAGAGGCATTCCTCACCTTCCAGAACCCTCCCGCTTGAGACTCCCTCACTAGCTCCAGAAGGTGAGCATCGCCAATGGTTTGGTCCAAGATCGGGCAGCCCTCCAGGGCTTTGGCGGCCGAAAACAAGGCAGGTGGTAAAGGCGAGTCCTGCATCGCATCTAACAATTCTTGTTCCTCACCTGGGAGTCGTATTATGTACTGTTTGATTATACTATAAAACGCAGCGGTGAGGTCGAGGAAGAGCCCAATAGATGACACGCCATCCCTACGCTGAGCGTGGAATCTGCTGCGAACAAAATGCGTAGCAACATCAGTGGACCTGCCCTTGAAACCTCCGCACTGAGTGTCATGAAGACACTGTCCTATAAATTGCCACGCTCTCTCTCTGACAAATTTGTGGTGCACCTTACTGATGGTGTTCCCCAGCAGTATACTTCGCTGGGCTTTAGCTTTACTTTGATCGCCCTTCCCTTTGAAAAAACTCACCACCTGTCCCTCTTTGAACCCATGCGGTTCACGACCCCCAATCGCAGTTTTAACCAGGATCGGGTGGAAGGCTCTCGCAAGGCCCTCAGGTTCGATCAGGAACAAGTCCGTGTCGAGACCATCTGGCCCGCCCGCGGTCCCCCTCTTCAATTTACTCAGGGATCTACCCAACACTTGCCTAGGGATCACGTTTTCAATGCTGAGGGGGGTTTCATCAGATAAAATTGTGCCTCTGAGGTTATACAACTCAACAATTTGCTCTCTGGTAGCCGGCTGTGCTTTTTCGATCTCGCCAAAATGAAGTTGAAGATCGTCAGCGTCGTCCTGCGGCGAAAGCAATGGAACTCCCTCGGGAGTCGTCCTGAGAGGGAAAGCAAGGGGCTGCTTGTGGCGGCGGCCTCCGTGGAGCAACAGCTTGCCAGCTTGTCGCCACTCGGCCCGTGACACATTGGCTTCAATGCTCTCAGAAATGTTGACAGCTTGCTTTTCTAGATAATCGCTGTAGTCCCTATCTAAGGACTGCAGGAGGACCTCAAGGGATCCCTTAAGCAAACACCCTAGTTACAACCCCCACTCCGCAACGTGCAAACGCTTCCAGAGAAAGTCCCCAGCAGCTTTGTCGAGCCTCGTCCACATGGCGACGATATCATGCCACAACGGGGTTTCCCTGATCAAATCATCATCGAGTCTCCCCCGAAGCTCGCCCTTTCTGACGCTGAAGGCCAGGAAAAAAAGTCGCCCGACATTATCGTCAAGTCCGCCTTTCAGGCGAACATACATCAGCGCTTTTTTTGACGGCCCGTCGAGCACGGATAAGCCAGAATGTGCCAACAGTCAGGTGGGGTTTGCGTGGCCTCAAAGCCTCCTTTTTGAAAGCTCTCTTGGCAGCCTGCCGAACATACTCGCACGTGTCCTGAAGCTGCACATTCAAGTCAACGTGCAACTCAGCAAGTTGAAAGTTGCGAATGGATTCTCTAAACAGGTCGCATGGCCCATCCAGGAGCATCTTGCCCCTGTCTAGGGCAGCAGCAGCACCAGCACTTTTGACGGTCTCGCGTGTCCAGGCAAGCTTGCCAAGCACAGGGAAGTGATCATCGGCTCTCCTGATCAAGTCAATGTGATGTCCCACGGAGATGTCAGAGATGCTTTAAAAAACCTCCTCATCAGTAACACTAAAATCGATTCTGTGCTTAGTGCCAGCTTTATTTGACACGAATGTGAAGTCTTCCTCGGGGCCCGAGAACGTATTAGCAGCCTTCAAGCTGAAGTCGTTTAGCCATTCCGCCATTTTGAAGGCTCCCGCCGAGCTCTGGCCCCTCATCCCCTTGGTCCCCGCATAGGAGCAGTCCTGATCCCCCTCAAGATGGCAGTTGTCATCAATGAAGCAGAGGTTGGGAGGCCATCTCTCTGCTACCTGGCGCATATCATCCCAAAATTGCTTCCGTTCAGCCGCAGTGTTGCTCGCATGCGGGGCGTGTGCCACAATGAAATTTAAATTCACAGCTGTCGCATCTAGTCTGCAGGCTAAAAGACGCGGCGAGGACCACGTCACGCGAAGCTGCTGCACACTGAAGGTAAGGGGCACCCCTTTTGCAGCTCCATAAGGAGCCGTGACGTTGAGCCAAAGCTCACAACCCAAAGGAAACAGATGGTGGCCCGAGGAGACACACACCCAGTCTCCAGCCCTGCGGGTGCCTTTCTCATTCCTCCCTTCCTGGACCCCACAATATGAACTCCTTTCCGATACATTTGCGATCTGAGGGCAGCTGCTCGCCTCGATCTGTCCCTTGCCTTTTTGCCGTGGCGGTGAGCCTGGCGAATCGATTGGGCGGTGAAGGACGCCACCTGAAACTCCACAGCAGCCGAGATCTTGCGCCGACTCTGTCCCTCGCCAACACTCCCTGACTCGCACTCGGCTTTGCAAGAAGGCCTCACACCGCTCACAACAAACCTATCTTGTTCAAACGAAAAATTGGGGTAGGCATGCGCATCCGCTTGCCCCTCCGAGGCCCACTCCCAGAGTCTGGAGGTCCCAAAGCAGACGGCATCAACCCAAGCCGACGGAAGAGGCAGGGGTGCGGGTCCGACCGATCGCGCAGTTATCTTCGCGGCGTTGTCCGCAAGTACGTTCCAAGGGTGGCCGCAGTGGGCCTTCACGTGTTCGAGGGTAACCCCCGCCTCTTCTCGAACCATATCCCAGACCACCTGAACCAGCTGAGCTAGCTGACGATCCGAAGCTGGCAAACACCCCCCTTTGGCCGCTCTGATGGTGGTCAGACTGTCCGAGCTAATGCTGATTGGGCACGGGGGCCTCTCAGCCAAAATCCAGAAAAGACAATGCAAGATGTCTAAGCACTCAAGAGTAGTGCTCGTAGCACCATCAGGCTCAATGCTCATCGAGTTACTTGCTTTTAATTCTCCCCTAAGTATCCCTTGATAAGCATGATTCCCACCCTTGTCAATGGTCATGACCACTGCCCATGCTCCCATCCCCTCCCCTATTCTGTGGAGCGAGCCGTCCGTGAAAAAGTGGATGGCGTCGGGGACCGTGTCCACAGGTAGCGGAGGGTAAGCCCTCAGCGCCACCTCTGCCTCGCACTCGAGTAGGCCCGTATCGCGAAGTTCTTCGAGCGGTAGTAACTGAAAACCTGTCCTTTCCTAAAGCACCAAGTCCCGAACCCTGGGCAGTGCTGCAAAACTCAAAGAGAAGACTCTAGGCGTGCTATGCTCGTTAGAACCTCGCTCATGGGTCCCGTGGCTGTGTGCTACTGCGTCTCCTGAGGGCCTCTCAGACGACCTGGCATCAGAAGTGGACCCCAAGGATGTCATGCCAGCTGCCGCGTCCGTGCCCCGAATTGTCTGGCCCTGCTGATCAGGGATCTGCTCGCACGAGTCATCGCACCTGTATTGGCAAAGCTTGGTTTCCCGACAAGCTGCAGAAATGAAATCAGACGTTTTGAGAATAGACCTAGGAGCACAGATGGCCCCATCACCTTCTAACTTCCCCGAAAAGGTGACACATGCACTATTTTGGACATTAGGCGGGTGCACAGAAGCATAGCGTGGACCCAAACTGGAGAGGGAGCCAGCCGACCCCGCCGGCCCCAAGAGGCCAGGCGAAATGCAAGTAACACTGTTTGGTGAAAGAGCGAACCTAACCCGTTTGCCCTCACTTACCTGCTCAGCCTCACTCAGCCGCGCATCATCAGCTCGATCACGTGCCCCTGCTGCGCGATCAGCCCGCTGAAGATGCCGTCTTGGCTCAGGATGCTCACGATGTTGCTTCATGCTCCGCCCAAGTTCTGCATCTTGGGCGCTTTGCTGTGTGGTGACCTCCCCTCCAGCCTCCCTGAGGTAGCCACCGTCGTAGTCGCCGAAGAACTGCTGGCCCCAGTGCTCGTTGCCACTGCCTCGCACGCCTGATCTATCTTCTCCACCTCTCGCTTCAGGCACGCCTGATCTATCTTGTCGATCTCCCTCTTCACCTGTGACGGGTTGGTGGCCTCCACCTGGTCCGAGTGCACAGGGTGGGTGACTGACGGCGGCGCCTGAGCTAACAAATATGGATCCTCGGGCTGTGTATCCATCATCTCCGTCGGGGTGATCGGCTCGACAGGCATCTCCACCGGGGGCGGTTTTACCATCAGGCCCGACACGAACGGCGTAGGCCTCTGACTGGCGACCATCTCCTCGTATCCAGTCCTCGCCTGCGACCCTGCTTGTTCCGTAGGCGTCAAAAGTGGCGAAGGCTGTCCAGCAGGGATTGGTGTTTCCGTGCCTCCTATCGGCGTGCCAGGAGCCGCCAGACTCCTCCTCCTCCTCCTCCTCCTCCTCCTCCTCCTCCTCCTCCTCTCCTCCCTCCTCCCTCCCTCCCCTCCCCTCCCCCTCCCCTCCCCCTCCCCCCCCCTTCCCCTCCCCCCTCCGTCCTCGCCGAAGGAGCAGCCGATGGTGAGGTCTATGGGGTAGCCACCCTGGCGGGCGCCGAGGCGCCGAGGTCGCCGACGCCAGGGGCAGGGCGTAACGGGGAGCGGCCCTGACCCAACATCACGCCGTCGTCGTCCTCGTCGTCGCCGGCGTCGTCGTTGTCGTCGCCGATGGTAAAATTTGTTCGACATTATTGATCCATTTTTCCTGCATCATCACACAACAGCCACCACAGCGGCCACCACGTGAGGAACGATGGCACTGTCGACAGCGACACTGGGGAGCCGATAGGCAGCCTCGAAGGAAAGGGCGAGGACGTTCTTGGCCCCCGCTCGGCCTCCCGAAGCCCTGTTCTGCGTCTTCTCGGGGATGGACAGGCTGCCTAGGAGACAGACCTCAGCCAATATCCCACCTCTTGGAGGTGCAAGCGTGTCACGGTTCCCTCCCCGTTGGGTGGAACAAGTGGCCGCGCCCACGTTTCACAACTTTCTTTCCAGCTGCCGCCGTGGGCGGTGATCTGGTCAAGCACTGTTCCACTACACCCGGCGCTGAAAAGAAGTAGAAGAAGGAGAATAAGAAAAGAAAGAAGAGACACAACTCTAGGCCACGGATGCGGCCGACACCGAGATGCAAGCGCCGTTCCGGGTCGTGGACGTGGACGACGCTGGAGGCAAGAGCACCATGGGGCGAACGCGCTGAGAACCAAGGGAACGGCTGGCGTTCAGGCGAGCGCACCGTTCCAAGCCAAGCGCGCGGCTGGCGCTGCGCCGGGCGCCGGGCCAGCATGTCCCAAAGGATGGCCAACGCTGGGGCCAGAGCGCCACTCCGTGCCAGCGCTGCGTCCCGAAGGAAAGAAGACGTGCCTGCCATTCCTTGTGAGTTCGGGCAAGCGTAAGGAAGCCGGGGGACACACAAAGGGATAGGCACACATCCCGGGATTCCCCATCTGTTTGTATATGTTCTGGATTGTCGTCTTCTCCTCCATTTCCCATAATTTCCCGTATATGTTCCTGGGGATCGATGTTTATGTGTGTATGTGTGTGTCTGTGCCTATGCTTCCCTCCCGAACACGGTCGTGGCTGAGGCGAGAGTGCTGACACAGGCAGGGGGAAAAAAGCACGAACCCACGGCCCCTCTTGCGAAGTCGAGGCCGCGGGGCAGAAGGAAGGAGCAGCCCTTCCCGCCTTGGTTAGGGGCTGCGGGCGGGCGCGCGGAGGTTCGCATCGAACGGCGGCTCGGGAAGTCGGGGGGGGGCTCGTCCACATCGTACAGCAGGAGCTCGACCACAAGAAGCCCAACCTAGAGACCCCAGGACGTCCATTGATGTTTTGGTGTGGGAACGTCGCGCTCTCCATCGCAGGGCACCCTGGAGGCAAGCAGGGTGTCTCTTGGCATGGGCCTCCACTGCACAACACTAGGCGGCGCCATAGACCAGAGCCCCGCGGGCCTTGCCAGCGGCTACACGTCGTTCATTTCTAATCGTGCTCATTTCTAATGGTGCTCGTTTCTAATTGTTCCTGGCCCCCTAGTGGCCTGGAAGAGACCCAGGATAGAACAATTAGAAATGAAAGGATTTTGGCCCCCAAAAAACAAAGAACTTTCGAGAATTAGCAATGAGCAATGTGTACTTGGGAGGCGGGCGGGACTCTGCGACGAGGCGCTCCCTGCCTTCTGGAAGGCCGCCCCCTCGGGTCCCCTTGCAGCGCGCCGCCGGCGTGGGCTCGAGGTGAAGACCGGGCGGCGTTCGAACGCCAGGTCGCTCGGCGCTCGACGAGCGACCCGGGCAACTCTGGCTCATCCACTCCGGCGTGCACGGTCGGTCCGCCCGATCGGTTCGGAGCGTCTGCGCCCGGCTCGATCAGGGGGCCTGGTGCAGGCCCCGTGTGCGAGAAATCGAGCTCGATCGTCGCACCTGCTGCGGCCTTGAGGAATGGCAGCACGAGTCCTAAAGCCCGTGCGATGTGGCCGCCGTGTTGGCCGAACAACTTCGCGCACCCCGCCCCCGACGTGGTATGCGAATAGCCAAGCGACGAGAACGAAGCGAATCGCGGAATTATCTCAAATGCCTTGGGTAGCTTCACCACTCTCGCCCGGGATCCCTGGGCCATGCGCAACCATGCTGTCCAATTCCTGTCCACGCCACCTCTCACAGGAGATCCTGCCGTCATGTCCCTTTTCCTCGTCCTCGTCCTCGTCCTCCCCTCCCTCTCCTTCCTCCTCCTCTTCGTCCCCCAATTCTCCTCCTCGTCCGCCTGACGCTGACGCTGACGCTGCTAACTCCTGAGCTCATGCTGATCCAAGCCACACACACCCCGAGGGGCCGTTGCCCCTGGGACGGGGGTGGTTGTCAGACTACACATACTGCAACCGTGAAAAGGGAAGGCGCGACGGGCGAGGAGCGTGGTCCACCTCCTCTTGCTCCTCCTCTTGCTCCTCCTTTTCCTCCTCCTTTTCCTCCTCCTCCTCCTCCTTCTCCTCATCCTGTTCCTCGTCGTCATCCTTCGCCTCCTCCTCCTCCTCCTCCTTATCCTCTTGGTCCTTGTCGTCGTCGTCCTCCTCCTTCTGGTCCTTCTCCTCCTGCGCGTTCTCTGTCCCGTTCCTCCCCATCACCCTGAGGCAAATTTACGACGGGGCGCCGGAACACACTGTCCGAACACCGCGCAGTGTGCCGCGGCTGGAATGAACGCATTCAAGTGCAGCATCCTCCCGCCCAGCCCGTTCCGCCAAAGGAGGGCAAGACTACGCATCGGCAATGCAAAGATGGGGCCCTGAGGAATGGGGCCCTAAGGATTCGGAGGCAACTCCTGAAGTTTTCCCGTGAGACCGATCGATGGCTATCACGCCGGAGTAAGGGGCCACTGAGCCGGATTAGGCTGGATTGCGCCCAACATTAAGCCACATCAAACCTGATCAAGCGGGATATAGCCGGATTAAGCGGGATTCAATCAGATTAGGCCAGCTTTCAATCAGGAGTGTACGAGCGCCGATTCAGAATTTAACCTCCCTGGAGCTGCATCCTAGCACATCGGCGCTGCAAGGATTAGGCCCTAAGGAAGAGGGGCCTCAAGCAGTGCAAGTTTAACCTGGGATCCCGTCCTATGCTTAGGGTCCCACATTTAGAGGAACAAAGAACTACATGAACATGAAAATGTCGAAGGTCCGCGAGGAGTTCTTGGATCGTCTCTGTGCCCCTGGCGCCGGACGCGCTGCCAGGGGACTCCAGCGCCGATCCAAGAAATTCGCGCGGAGTCCCGAAAGTTTGTGTTTGTTCTACCAGTCGGAAGATGTAGGTAGAAACATGAAGCAGCAAGGCGTTGAAAGTAGGTTGGGTTCCGTCCGCCCCCCAAGGAGATCGGACAAGGTGAAGCCACTCGATCACTGAAGCAGGAAGGCGATTAGCGGAATCTGGGCATCCAGAAGCACCTCCTGTCAACGTCCGAAAGGGTAGTTGCATCTCCTTCGCACCGTGGAATCGCCGAACATGCACACAACCCGTCGAAGCTCCGCGCGGATTTCATCGGTCGGCGCTGGGCCAACCCTCCCCGGTGCGCGACGCTCGCCAAGGGCGGCGCCAGGGGCGGCGCTGGAGTGGTGCAGCGCCGGCCCCAGAGGAAACCACGGGCGGGCACTGAGGATGTACACCGGCCTCTTCCTCCAGCCTCCTCCCCTCCAGACCTCCTCTGTCTCTCCCCTTCGCTCCCTCCCCTCCTCCAGCCTCCCCTCCTCCTTCCCCTCTTGCAGCCTCCTCCCTCCCCTCCTTCCCTCCCCTCCTCCAGCCTCCTCCCTCCCTCTGCACCATCCTCCCTCCCCTGCTCCAGCCTCCTCTGCCACTCCTATTTCCTGGGGGGGGGGGAGGGGGGGAGAGAGGCGGTGGTGGTACACTTTCCTGGGGCCCGTAATCCAGGCGCACCTCCGAAAGCTTAGTTCTTGAGGCACCACCACGTGCACGAAAGGCCATCACATGGATGTGGGGTAATGTTAGAGGGGACCAGCTCTGGGTGAACTGGCGACTCGGAACCGGCGCGATGTTTCGCCGATTGACCTGCTGCAGGCCCCCGACGGCGAAATCACACGGTCCAGGGCGGTGTGGGCTAGCCAGCCCCCTATCGGCGATGGATGGGCGATCGAGGGTTCATGCGTCCGCCCCTGAGCCTACCTTTAGGTCGGGCCTGTCCCCTTACAGGGGGATCTTGGACGAAAATTTGAAAAAATATGCTCCAAAAATGCTCAAAGTCCAGAAATCGCCCCCAGACTATTGTTGGACTATTTTTGAGCGTTCCTCTTGTAGAGGGACAGACCCGAGTCAAGCCCTCCTCCCCCCCCGTCAGCGCCCCCAGGTGTTCCTGGCCACGGCTCGGCTCTCTCCGGCGGCCGCGCGTGACGATCCGGGCATCCCCGGAGCGCTCTCGGCGAGGGCGCCGCTGCTGGAGGGCATCCCGGGGCTGCGAAGCCGCCGAGGACCGACGGAGTGCGCCCGAAAACTGCCAGAAGTCTGGGACCTCGGTCCTCTTGCGTTGCCCCTGGGTAGCTATGTGCCTGAAGTCTTCGGCCCTGCAGCGGAATCGCCAAAAAGTCTTCGTTCGCTCTGTCCCGAAAGCCACGGAGGCGGTGCACAGGAATCCCTCCTATGCATGAACAGGATCCACGAGGGGAGGAGGAGCGGAGGAACACGAGCGTGGTCCCTTCTCCTCCTTCTCCTCCCCCTCGCCTTACCACCTCAAGTAGTGCTGAATATGAATACCCGTCGCTCGGGGCCGCGCCAGGAATGGCTGTGTGCCTGACGTGATCGGGCCACGGGCCTGGCGCAGACTGATGATGATGCTGCTGATGATGATGAGGAGGTCGTTTTTCCTGCTGCACCCCCAAAGGCTGAGTGTGCGTGACAAGGCATGGTCGGTTGGCCCTCGGGGACTTTTCCAACCCCCGCCCCAGACACGCGATGCCCTTATTCTTTCAATGATGACGGCATCCCATGAAGCCCCGACGCTTCCCTCGGCACTGGTCTTTTCTCCCGAGTCGGTTTTGGACGGTCTCGGGGCCTGGCGAGGGCCCCCACAAGCCGAGAATGTAGAAAAAGCACCGTGCCAATGTTTGTCAAGACGCTGGCATGTCTGGGGATGTAGCCTCGCTTGCTGAGCGCATGTGTGGCCAATCACGGGCCGGGGTGACCCCAGGTGTTCCGGACATGGCTCGGCTCTCCGGCGGCCGTTCGGGGCGATCTGGGCCCCCCCCCCCGGAACGCTCTCGGCGAGGGGTCAGCTGCTGAAGGCATCCCTGGGCTGCGAGAACACCGAGCACCGACGACGGCGCCCAGAAGCCTCAAACCTCCAACCTCGATCCTCGAACTCTGCCCTGCATGGCCGCGCGCCCGCGGTGGTCTTGCCACGGGTCGGGGCGCAGAGTACCGCGGCGGCGGCCCCTGGGGTTCTGTGTCGTCGTCGCCGTCGCCGTCGTCATCGTCGCAGTCGTCGTCGTCGTCGTCGTCGTGATCCTCGTCGCCGTGATCGTCGTCGTCGTCGTGAACCTCGTCGTCGTCGTGATCCTCGTCGTCGTGACCCTCGTCGTCGTCGTGACCCTCGTCGTCGTCGTGATCGTCGTCGTCGTCTTCGTCGTTGTCGTGATCGTCATCGCCGTGATCGTCCTCGTCGTGATCGTCCTCGTCATCGCCGCCGTGATCGTCGTCGTCGTCGCCGTCGTCGTCTGAGGTGGCCAGGCCACGAGCCGGGGCGCAGGCTGCCGCGGCGTCGGGCCATCGGGGAGCCTGCTTGTACTGGTCCGAGTGGAGGTTGCACCAGTCCTCGCGCCGCCGCGGTCTCCGCGCCGCGCCGTTGCCGCTTGGGCCGCGGACTCGAGGAGGAGGAGGAGGAAGAGGAGGAGGAGGAGGAGGAGGAGGAGGTTCTCCTCCTCCTCCTCCTCCTCGACGTCCTTCTCCTCCTCGACGTCCTCCTCCTCCTCGTCCTCCTCCTTCTCATCCTCCTGCTCGCCCTCCTCCTCGTCCTCCACGCGAGAAGACCCTTTCTCCTCCTCCTCCTCCTCCTCCTCCTCCTCCTCCTCCTCCTCAGGAGGAGGAGGAGGAAGAGGCAGGGTCTTCTGGCGGTCGTGTCCCCAGTCGGTGTTGGTGAGGGAGAGGGTGTTCGGTGCCTCCTGCATGAATTGGGCATTCTGGCCACGTCTCGCCCGTGCAGTCACGAGGCACACGTGGCGATGCTCGATGGTGGATTTCATCTGGCCGAAAGCAGGCGCGCCCCGAGTCCCATTCTTCGGTCGCGCGGAAAAGCCTGGAAGCCTCGCGCGGCAACTTGAGACCCAACGTATGTCGGATCCGCGTCGGATTTACATCGGGTTCACGTCGGAATTGCCTCGGACTTGCGTCGGGTTCACGTCGGACTTACGTCGGAACATCACCGCGCGTACGTCGTCGCAGAGCTGAAGGGGCGGACGCGTGGTCCAGATAATACCACTATTGCGCGCTGCTCGATGCCTCCAGGATTCTCCTCATAGGGAGGGGCCTCCCACGTTTGGTTTTCCTCCTGAAGACAGACTGGTTTCGCATGTATTCCTCCACCCCCTGCTTCCGCTGATGCTGCCAGCGTAGTTACTCGGAGCCCTCAACAAGGTCGGGCTAACGGCGACGTTGCTTAACGGTGATGTTGGGAACCACAGCGTTGGAAATCACGAACCACACTTGCCTACATTTCCTGTATGCGAATGGATCGAGCGAACACGACACAGCGAATTGCAGGAAAGCACGAGCCACGCGTTCCCACAATACAGAAACCGACATCGCCGTTACCTACATCGCCGTTAGCCCGTCTACAGTGCGGGCGCGGCCGCAAGAAACCCACGCAAGAAACCCAGCCCTGAGAACCCGCGCGCGAGATACACCTGAGGGGAAACCCGGAGCACCCTGAACGCAGCAGCTCCTTCAACGGCTGCGGGAAGTTACAGCGCAACGCGAGGAGCGAAGAAACACAGGATACCCTCACGAAAAGCATATGGTTTCTTGATGCGCGCCCCCACTGTACGGCCTCTCCGGCGTCCACTCTTTGTCCATGTCTCTTTGCCACCCCCTGCTCCTGCACTTGCTGGCAGCCGTACAGAAGCCACATCGCCCGAGCCAGCTGTCCTGCTTCCTGCTTGCACCCTCTGCCGCACGGAGGCTCCGATCATCCGATCGTAGTCCGTGCAGCGTAGAGGGAGGAGGGTCAAGGATCGAGGACAGCGTGGCCACGGCAGCAACGTGCCGCAGACTCGGCGAGGAGGAGGTCGAGGAAGAGGGCCGAGGATCGAGGAACGTGGCCATGGCTGTCTCGCAAGGCTGGGCAGGACGGGAGTCCAGGAGGCATCGAGGGGTCGGCTCTGACGGGCAAGGGCTGGAGATGAACAGGTCGAACACGAGGTTGCTCCTCGATGTGACCCTCCCAAGGCCCGCGTCGGGCCCCGGGGCCGTCAATAAAGCGGGATGAAAGACTGGCCGAGAATTGACCCCGGGAGGGGTCTGCTTCAGCGGTGTTGGAGGACACCAGGCTCATAACACGGTTTCGCTTTAAGCTACCACTCGAGTTAGTGGGACGCCCACGGGAATAGTGATAGCCTGAATTCGAATCACAATATTCAGAACTTCTCAACACTTTCCATCGCGGGTCACCGCTGCTCATCACTTTGTAAAGCTTGCGAAAATATGTCATAACGTCGCATCACGTGTCATCAATATCTCGCCCACGTCGAGCCCCGTCCACTGCAAGACATGCCTCCTTCTACATCCTTCTAGGACAGAGCCGTTGCCGCAGAGCAACGGCCATACATCTTGTAACATATTTGAACATATAGATTGGGCCATCCTGAGATCCACCGAGGCACTCTTCGAAACATGTTGGACCTGATTGAGGACCACCATCACCATCATCAGCCGCATCACAACCAGCATCGTCATCGTCACCAGCATCATCATAATCACAAGCAGCAGATGCACCATCATCATCATCATCACCATCAGCACCATCATCAGCAGCATCACACAACGCATCACCATCAATCTCATCATCATCATCATCATCATCATCATCATCATCATCATCATCATCATCATAATCAGCATCATCATCATCAACATCATCATCATCATCATCATCATCATCATCATCATCATCATCATCATCATCATCATCATCCTCGTCATCATCATCACAACCATAATTACTTTATTTACTATTCGCACCATTATTATCAGCATCATCGTCATCACCATCACCAGTACAATCAGCAGCCGCCTCATCAGCAGCAGCATCATCAGCATCATCATTTCCACCACCACCACCGCCATCATCATCATCATCCCGCAGCCCTCCTCCTCTCGTGATGACATGGATGGTTCAAGTGGGCATGGCGGGGGGAAGGGGTTGCAGAAGGGGGAGATGGAAATGAAGGGTAGGGGAATGAGAAAAACCCGAAGGGTTCTGCACTGCCTGCCCTGACGAATGCGCCTCCATGTAACCGCTCCCAGGCACTGCAAGCGGAGTGAGAAGGCAAGGGTGGAGGATATAACTAGAGAGAGAACATATGAACACATATGAACAGTGAGACGAGGATGGAGCAAGAGGTGGACAAGGAGGAGGCCGGTCGCGTCGATCACGCGCAAGACTGCAACACTCGCGCGCGCGTGCGCGCCAATGCCATACGTGCTGAAATGTGAGATGCCCACTGTGCGCGAGCTCCTGTTTCAATCTGCACGCGCCGTAACTATGCCATGGCTGCGTGTATCCTTTTTCGTGACTGTGTTCATGACGGTTGTGAGTAGTAGTTGCGTAACTTTGCGTAACGAGTGACATCTAGTTAATAACACACGACGTACGCCCGTAACCTCAGAACCTGGCATCTTGATGTCCCACCAGCCCCTGAGTGAAAATGCGGTCTCGCGAGTACGAGGACTGTTGGGTGCCTTCTGTGGCGTGCATAACGCGTTTTGTGTTGAATGGTATACGCGTTTGCGCTGGACTGCATGATGTGCGACGTTGTGAAAGTCCTTAGTGTGTGAGGACCGTGCTTAGCGACGAGCTATCGCCCCAGTACTCCTTCCCCAGCCCTACAAAAGCACTGATTGAAGAACACATTAAACAGGTAATCCGTTTGTAGTAACGTACAATGGGGGTTCTTTTGTAATCCACCACACCAAATGCTTCTGTAATCCGCAACAGAAGAGACCACTTTGCAGTCCCCCGCGAAGAGAATGCTGTCGTAATGTACTAGAGAAGAACCATGTTTCCTCACAAAAGTACAATCCGCCACAAAAGGAACATGTTGGTACAACCACCCCCACGAACAAGTGATGGGAAACGAAGAACAAAGGCAACAATATGAAACAACGCATAAAACGCACAGCGAAAACTTGGAAACATTGAAAAGCTGTTGGATGGAGAAGAAAGGAAATATGGAAACATGCCGCGTCAATCGTAATCATTGTGTAACCCGCTACGCAAGAAATCCGAATGCAACACACCATAGATGGAACCCTGCTGTCACGAATAAAGATTGCAATGTGTCCCTCTGCGCCCCCTACTCCGTTAAAGAGCGTTTGATTGCTTTGTACGCTCCGTTGACTGCTTCTCATATCCTAAGATGGGGTTCGTCTTCTTACTACCACCGCCCCGAGGACCTCACTCACTTCACATCTCTCGTTCTCTTACTCGGCGCTCAGACCTGCCCAACATTCAGACTCACTTATACTCCGACATTCGCATCACAAACATAAGCACACTCACACTCTTCACTCAGACTCACTACCTCCTCCTCCTCCTCGTCACTCATCACTAAGACTGACTCGTACTCTGACATACTCTTCCTCACTCAGACTCAATAGCAAAACTTCCGAACTCAGATTCACTCACCCAGACACACTCACACGCAGACTCACTCATCACCCAGACTCATTGACCGAATCTCTCACACACGCACAAAGATTGTGAGGATGTCGCAGGCGAGGCGCTGGTTTCAGCACTCCCACGGGGGGCGGCAGCGGGATGTTGCACGGGCCCGTTCGCGCTCAGAATGTGGGGATGTCTCAAGGCGTTTGCCTACTGGCATGCGCAGCATCCTCCTCTGCTTTCGGAACTGCCTGTGAGGATGTCTCAGGCGAGTCGCTGGCTTCAGCACTCCGGAGGGGGGGGGGGGGCAAGGGGGGCGCTGCACGGGCGCGTTCGCGCCCAGACTGTGGGGATGGCTCAGGCGGTTTTGCGTGTTGTGCATGCACGACATCCTCTGCTTTCGGAGCAGCTTGTGAGGATGTCTCAGGCGATTCGCTGGCTTCAGCACTCCCAGGGGGGGGGGCGGCAGGGCGGTGTGGCACGGGCCCGTTCGCACCCAGACTGTGGGCATGTCTCAGGCGGTGTGCCTGTTTGCATGCGTAACATATTCTGCTCTCGGAGCTGTTTGTGAGGATGTCTCTGGCGAGGCGCTGGATTCAGCTCTTCCGTGGGGGGGGCGGAAAAGAACATCACACACTGGCTTGGTGCTTTCAACTTGCGAGTGGGAGGGGGGGAAACACCCGTGCGAGCGGAAACTCCGACTCGGGTGAGCTGGCCCGAAGGCGCTTCGTGGTGCATCGCAAGCCGAAGCCGAAGCGAAAACTGAGGTGCACAGAGAAATGGAAAAGGGCCCACCGTGCAAGTTTGGGTGACAACACAGGCCCCCCCTAGAGCAACAACCAGACCAGTCGGGGCTTCACCCTCATGCCTTGCTGGACTCTGGGCGCGTTTCGGTACTGCCACTGCCGCCGTCACCCCCACATCAGGGCCACCGACT